CTGCCTCGACAACATCGATTGCATACCCAAACGATAAGGAAATGTAAGTCGTGCAGATATTCAGTGTAACAGTGTTGATTTTTGTGTCAACAGCACGTCAGAAATGCGAACGCACGCTTTTAACATTCAAGTCAGTATATTAGGTGCTCATATCCAGATGTCTCATTCGAAGGAACCTCGTTGTCCGTCTACGGAATATCTCTCATCGAAGACCCACCACATCGACTGCAGACCTGGCAATGTGTTCAATATCTTCCTTTCGCTCTCACATAGTATTGTCAATAGCCTGGATTCGTGCTATACATACACGGGTTCGGAGACGGATTTTTCAGTTAACTACCTTGTTCCATCCAAGCTTCCTGATAGCATGATCAGCATCGTTGCGCCTTGCGAACACGGCGCGCCAGATGTGGACATGCTCGCCAACGGCATGTTGTTTTATGGATCGCTATATATCTGACTCTTACGATAGACTTTGGTGGGTGACATATCAATGGGTACGTATGCATCTTTCGCGCAATGAGGTACAGACGTTGATATGCGATGCAACAGGGGGTCTTCTGGATGCAGAGAGAAGGTTGTTCTCCCCTCGAGACCTACGGTTCGTATCCGGAGACGTCCAAAGAACTCTAAAGCCTGCATGATTCAATGAAAGCCATCAAAGGTCGCGCAACATCACGATCGGGTGCAGCTTCCAGACTACGAACTATCATCAACTCAGTACATATCACTTTATCAGAGCCGTACTCGGCGTGTGGGGTCAATTGCCGCCTAAGAAGAGGAAGACGGGAAGACACAGAAAGTAGGTTCCGTACCAGACCGAGGATGAGGATGGTCGGGAGGAGGAGGAGACCAGGTATCATCGCGAGTCACTTCAACCGATGCTGATACAGCTTGCCAAGTATTATTTCATCTACTTGAGGGGTTCGTTGATATCTGCGTGCACACGCTTGTAATGTCAGTTCAAGAAAATGATCACTGGTTGCGAATTGTTCACAGTCCTTTCCCAATCTCATTGACCGTAAAGTCCCTGTATCGACACCGTTCAATATTCTATCGGACGCTCGATTCCACGATGTGATTTTCGGTCGTATGAGCAACGCCACATACGTCTCTCCCTTGTTCGGAATGATAGAGGATGGAATGCTATCTTAAGGCAGAACTGTAGAAAAACACCCCTATGTTCAATAGCGTTGTGAAGTGCGCATAGAGATGGCACCAAGATGGCACACGTTATACCATGTTCATTCTCGATACTTTCTTGTTGATTGAGGGGAGGGGGAGGGTTGTTTCCTTGAGCAGAAGGTGTTTGAATGAAACTTCGTAGATAAACGTCTAACTGAATGCGTCGAGATCCTCAGCTTGCAAGACGTAGGGTCGATGGATGGTTATTATCGAGGAAACTAGGGGATGGCTTCTCTGGGTACTGGCGGTGAAGAATTTGTTTAAAGGCACACTGGGCCGAGGGAAATCCAACGTTCAAGATAAGATAAGACGGTGCATTATGAAGTGTCAAGGCCTTTTCATAAGTTATCGGGGACGCAGGGATCCAGCCCAGCTACAATGACTCTCACAACGAATGCAAAACGCGAAAACACCGGCGTGGCATCTCAAAGACGAACAGTCAATGTACAGCCTAGCAAGACAACCAATGCGTCATCAAGTGACTGCGGTCCGTGCTAGATGCAGAGCCGATTTGAGCGCGCAATTTGACCTTACCACCCAGCTGGGCTATGTTTAATTACGCTCAAAACAGTAGCTGGGGTCGCCGCTACATTTATCTTGGAACAAAAACAATGGAAGAAGCAGATGGATCAGTCTCAAAAAGGCTGCTCAGAAACCAATATTTCAATATACACCTCGATAAGGCATAAAGACGGGTCGCGAGGCGCCGGTCCTTTGTTCAGAATTCGGAAAATGGAGGGTAAATGGAGATAGATGCTGTTCTGACCATTAAAATAGGCTTCAATGGTCTAGAATTTCGTAAAATGAGTACGGTCACCGATTGACTGGGGCCAACTAGATCTGAGGGCGACAAAAAGCCATTTGGACGATAGAAGTGTCGAATATTACAACAAAATTAGGAAAATCATCAGATTATCTCCATACGATAAACTAGAAGAATCTCACCTTGAGATTACACGAAATATGAATTCTGACACGAGATATACGTCGAGCAAGACGGAATACATCTGTGCACGTGATCGAGGTTGGGATGGGACGCAAACACGTGCAAATAGGAAGGTCGATCTTGGAATCATATCTCCATCCAACCTTGCTTTCATCTGGGATCTGGCAAGTCTGGATGCCTGGGCCGTTTCCGGGAAACGAAATGTAACCATCTTGGGATCAAAGTAATGTTCAATTTCTACTGAGGACCCCCCTGTTATTTTTCTAGCTTTCCTTCCGGTGCCGGTAGCACATCTTCAGCGTCTCTTCACGGGTTTCCTCCGCCTCGGACTCAGAGTAAGCTATGCCAAAGGTCGCCTACACTTTTCAGCAGCCCCAAACCCGTACCCTGGACACTTTTTTCAAGGGAATTCACTCCAGGTGCCTCGGCCGGGCCCCCGCTCGGAAACCCACTTTTGAGCACAAAAGTCTACCTCTTCAGGCTAGGTACCCGTACTCGAAAAAAACCGTTTCTGGATAAATGGGTATAGCATAGTATCCGAATATGAAATCCCTAACGAACTACGGCATTCGTGGCACGAGCCGACGCAATTTTCTTGAATGGTTGTCCATGTCTTGGTCTGCTAGTGTCAAGCCAATAGCACAGGAGGCTCCCGTGCCCAGGATACCATGGGCCAATGTCGAAGCAAGCCACCAATTGTGTCGTGCAGTATTTAACTGAGGGTGTTCGGTGAGTGTGCTGCCACGCCCCACAGTACCGCCAGTATTGTCTTATCATTCTCTCCAATGCCCTACCAGCATCCCACCGTGCCAGGCTTCGCCATAGTCGAAGTTGACGATATCAGGCTCCCCGGAATCGAGAGTGACTTCGTGGAGAACCCACCCATCCTATTATCCGACACCCGCGACAGCATCAACTCGGCTGGCCCATACTTTCTGCCGGTGTTTATTAACCAGGTCTTGAGTCCCGTCCTAACCTGGAACGAACATAATACCTCAGCCTCGATCCCCAACTTGGCCATTCCCGGGATGGACTTTGCCATCGCATTGACAGACGCTTGGGGCATAGGATTCGTAGTTGGCGTCAAGTTGTCCTGGTTCGCGATGAACTGTCTGTTCAGCCCGGTCCTTCCTCTCCCGCTCGGAATCGGAGAACTCCCAGTCGTAGTATACGCAGTCGACGGGGTCATCTCTCGATCCAGTCTCCATTTCACCCTGGTGTACCTCCTCAGCCATGATCAAGCAGCCCTTTTTTACGCGGTGCTCGGCCACGCTGGCATGTTTTCTCCCCACTGGCAACCGTTTCGTGCGGGAGAACGGAAGACAGAGGATCCTCCGACGATTTTTGACGACGACGGCCTGGAATCCAGTGCCAGGTGTCTTAGGCAAATGCCGCTGGCAGACCTTGAGAAGCTCGAGATCCATGTCAATGGGTTTTTGCATGTACAAAACGCACTCGCCATCACCGATATGGGTTTCCTGGAGGTTATCTGGGCTTGTTGTGTGATTGTTAACAGGGCTCTCCGAAGGGTCTGAAGACGAAGATGATGATCTCAGTGGAGCGGATGGCCTACTCGCATAGTTGGACGAGGGTCGGATTGGATGGTCACCCAGAACCGGGTCGGTGAGGTTGGGTCTGATGGTTTAATTTTGTTTTTGTTTTTTTATGTGTATTTTCTCAATATTGGCTTCGACTTTTACTTTCAATAAAATGTACATTCAGACACTGTACGAAAGAATACTCTATCTGTTTCACATTTTATGAGAAGAGGACTCTTGGTCCCGGATAGCGTTGCAACCGATGTTCAGATGGACATCCAGAAACGTTTCCACGCACGTTATACCTGTCTATATGTCCTTCTGCAGAAACAGAAAGCTCGTCGCCGTTGTAAATCCTCCTGGGTCTACCGCATCGCATAGTTTAGATCGGAGAGCCGAGGTTGATTCCGCGGGAGCACCACACGTCTGCCAGCGTCATGGCGGAGCGGTCGTGCTCACCTCATATCTACTTCTCTCATCCTTCCCTTACCTGAAGGCGCCAGATCCAATACACCCGCTACTTCAAGAGTGTAGTAGTCATGAGAGGCTGGACGCCGACTCCAGAAAACGATCCGCGGAAGTAAATCGCACCAAGTTGCAGCTGTGGCGTTCTCCCGCTGGCAGGCGTGGGGTTACGATTGACTCCCGGTAGCAAATACGCAAGGGGCTCGCCTGCGAGCCCCTTGGTCGGGATGCTGCCAGGTCCTCAGAGGCGGGAGGACTTGGGATGCGGGCAATAACCACTGGCACTGAACCCATTCCTCACCTTGAAGGTGCGTTGGTCGATCAACACATCCACAAACAGTGAGCACTCGCTGCGTCGCTGACACCGCATAAGTAAGTTCCGAACAACGACTCGGAGAGGATCGTAGTACAAGCTAGTATCTTATTATGAGTCTATCTGGATGCCGAATAACGCGCTGGGAGCGACCCTCAACATCGGGAGTGAACGGTTGATTTTGAAGGGTGGGCAATCCGAGTAGTGATGATGATTAGCGATGTGGGCAGAGAAATGGATTGCAGGACAGGTCGGTGAGATAGAAAATCCAGCCTTCTCTGGAATCCGAGTCCAAGCCGGGGTGGAGACCAACCGAGTCCCGGTGTACGCATCGTCGTACGATTGGGAGATCAATTCCGAGGGAGTAGGAGATGTACACACCTTTTTATTACACTGCAAACGGAATAACCCTCTATCCAGCAGGAACTTCATTTCAGTTCTTGGGGCAAAGACTCACAGAGGCAAAACAGGGGCCCACGCGGTAATGGGAACGAGCACGCTCCCAAAGTCAACGTGTGTGGAGATCCTGAGTTAAGGGAAATGGCATCGATGAGCATTAATGGGGTAGTGGTAACCTGGGTCGTTGCCATCTCGTAAAAGAAGTGCGGCTTTTCGACCCGCCGGGGGTTCAATTCCCCCTTGATGCACGCTGATCTGTAACCCACAGGTTTGCCTATCAATTTTCTTTTGCAGGCCATGAGCTGAGTCTCGATCTGATTATACCCAATGTCCATAATACGTATATGTATCACAAGAGAGAAATGACGCTGAGAGCTCCAAATTTGGAGGCGGAAAAGGCGTGCTGTGAAGATTACGATCTCTTTTCGCGGGACAGTGCGTAAGATAGGTGTACTTTGTCTATGTATATTGCTTTCTGTCGGAACTTGGATTGAAGTCGAGGTCCGAGTCATACAAAGAAAATGGTCGCGCATTGTTGGTCCGATACTCGGTAAGGGTTCAATCCCCGGTCAACGTACCGCTGTTCTTGCAAAAATTTCCGCCCTTACTGACGTTGAGCGCTAACAACGAAGATTGCTGAGTATGCATACAAGCAAGTACACTCTATTCATAAACACAAAATTAGAATAAACGACTGCGCGACCACCACCAATGGCACGCCACGAGGATGGCCATTGAAAGGGAATGGCCATTGAGTAGAAATAAAAAAGTTCTGGCACCCTCCGCATCCGAGTGCCAACTGTGCTGAGAGCAGTGGTCATCGCTGGCCTCGCGGAGTAGATGTCCGTTAACGGCGTGGCACGATCGCGAGCAAAGCGTATGCGGCGGGCAGGCCGATGAGGTAAGGACGACCCGGGTGTTCCCGTACGACGACGTGGGGCGGTGAGGTGGTGGAGGTTGCGGTGTGAATGGGTGAGTGTCGACGGCAGACGTAGCCCAATGAGAACGATGCTCGTGGTTGTGTGCGAAGATCGGGCGAGGCTGCGTTCGTCGGGCTCGCTGAGGACGGAGACTCGGCGGAGAGTATACGCAAGTCCATGTCGTCTACGATGTTGGGTCAAGCCTTCTGAGCGAGACGTGAGGAGGCAAAGAGTCGACGAGCGCCTCATTTTTGGAGTCGGTCAGTGTGGCGGTGGATGAGCCCAGCGTCGGCAATGCCTGTCGAAAATTGGTCGAAAGATGCTGCGACTCTGAGAGGTAGGGTTCACGCACCTCCTCCTTCTGGAATATCCTCGCTACTGCTAGAATAAACAAACCCTGGACCCTAAATTAAGGAGGACGAACCAACACGAGCTGGCAAGGATCGACACCAACAATGACATCCTCAGGCGGAAGCAAATGGCAAATCATTGTCCTGCGAGAGGGAGACAAGTGGACGTACATATCGAGAGAATGGAAGCGAAATCCCGGCATTGGCTCACAATAGACATCGGCCGACCCTGGCAATTGGTACTCGTAAATTACCTCGTATGCAAAGTGATGGGGGACGTACAAGTACAAACAAACCATGTATGGTAATTAGTGAATTGGTTCAGTACGCGATTGGTGTGTCCGGACGAGTATATAAATCCCAGGGGAACGACGGGAGCCCCAGAAATCCTCCGCCAGCTTACAATGATTGGAAAACGCAACGCCTCCAACGCTGAGAACATCCCCGTTCGCCGGGCCTCGTCGACCGCCAAACACGCGGCAGCCGCCAAGGCCCTGTCGGCGCCTGTCCACAAACGGAAACGCGCTGTTGCGAAACCCGGCCACATCGTCTTCGACGTCAAGACCTACCGTGCCTCCAAGGAGGCGCTCATCACCGTCCAGCTCGTCCCGAAGCTCGAGAAACTCAACATCGGCCTTCCTGACGCCACGACGCTCTTCGCCCGGGACACCGTCGTGCGCGACTTTGGCGTGCGCCTCTTCTACACACTCTCCCTCCTCGCCCCCTCCACCCCTCCCAAAGACACCCCTATCCCCGCCAAGTTCCCCGTGTCGCTCCCTGCGAACGCCCCCGCAGAGGGCCCCTCCTACTTCCTCGGCGTCTTCGCCCAAAACTCAACCAAAGTCACGCTCCATCCCGCGCACCACGACATCCTCGCCGTGCACTGCCCCGGCCTCCCCAAAGCCATCCAGGCGTCCCCCGCGGGCCCGGAGATCCCCGTGCACCCGCTCTGCCTGCCTGACCCCCAGAGCTACGCGCTCCTGAGCCAGTACATGTACACCCACCGCCAGGACCTCCTCCTTGCGTCCCTCTTCCCGCTGGGCTCCCTCCCGGCTAACCCCTTCCCCACCACCGCCCGCCTCTCGTCGTCGCCGAAAACCGCCGAAGAGATCCACTCGCAGCTCCTTGCGCTAGCAGAGTCCCTCGCGAAGGATTATACGCAGCACAAGCTCCTTGGCGGGCTGTCGACGGTCCATGGGCTGTGGAAGAATACCGTGGCATTGGGTGTTGACGATGATGGGCTGTGGGAAGTCCTTCATGCGGCGTGGGGCGTGTATCTGACAGCCGCGGGTTGGACGGACAGCCGTCTTCACCTCAGAAAGGGCGAGCTCATCCCGGGTTACCAGTGATTATATGTGTCTATGCTGTCGATTCTTGCTTTCTTGTTGTCTAGCTTTCCATTTCCACGTCGCATATGTTGTACACCACGCACTCGCATCTACTTATTTTTACTTATGATGAATATGATCACTTGTACTACAATTCTCTTGTGTGATTTGAACTCGACTTGAAGTCAACAATACTTCAAGTTTCAGTTGCAAAAGTACAAAGGACGGCATCGAAGTATTGGTGCAACAACGGGGAATTGAACCCCCCGGCGGAACACGGGACGCAAATGGTTGTTGTCTCTTCCTCTCTGACCACACCTTTTACACGAGTACTCCCTCCTCAACCTCAGTGTTCTTGCATTGACGTTCCAATTCTGGTCTCGTGGTCGGGCCTGGAGAGAAGGTCTGCCCGCGCAGGAAGAGAGACGGTACAAGGTACGTCCACGCTCTATTTCCCTGCTCCCGCAGCCCCAACCTTGTCCTGCCAGTTCCTTTAACCCGTCCACGTACCTTTTGATTCCAATGGGACAAGTCTCGCCCAAGAACGAGACTGTATATACCTTGGACCCAGACTCCACCTTGATGTAAACGAGGAACGACGCCAACGACGGTGCATGCGCTGTCAATTCCCTCCCGCTTTCGCTGTCTGCTTCCGCGGACCCTTTCTCGTGGCGTCGATCCCTGGACCCTGGTGCCCCGAATCCAGGACCGTACGCCGATGGACCCTCCACTTGGCCTTTGGTATGCGTACACTTTCAGATCGAACGAGACAAGGCTTACCTTGAGCCCAAACCGCGACTTCGAGTCCTATGTCTATCGCAGTCTCTTTTCTTTTGGGTCCGCTCCTCTACAGGAACCGAATACCTGACTACTCTCCACATCGCTCTGTTGTGATACCTGTTATGTACGCAGCTTGTACTCAAAAATTGAATGGGGACTTGAAATTTGGTCCGACTCTGGGACGCGGAATAAACATCGCTTGATATCAGGACAAAAGTAGTTGCACCAGAGATGCATCAAGAGGGAATCGAACCCTCGGCGGGTCGATAAAGTCACCTTTCACGACATATCATTTATGGCAACGACCCAGGTTACCACTACCCCATTGATGCACACTGTTGTTGGCTCTTCCTTGCAGAGCAGACCTTCTAGGGAGGTACTCAATGCGCGCCCTTCTCTTTCACCTTCCATGTCTTCTCTTCGCACCGCAAAAGGGACGATACAAGCTGCGTACAAGGCGTATCTCCCTGTCACCACCGCCCCAACGCTATTCTGCCAGTTCCGTCCTTCGAATATCCGATTCCTCTCGTGGCGTCAAGCCCAACCCGCGAGCTTTTCTACTTCCACGGGCCAATTAGGGATTTTCAGTTCCCAGCGACCCACAGGCGAATCTTGCGCTGTAAACGAGGAGTGACACCCGGGCCGACTCCATGACTGGACGGAAAAGACCTGGCGGTGCACTGTCTGTTACCACAGGCTCGCTATTTGCTTCTCAGTCTTCCACAGAACAAGATTACTTGTGTTTTCATCCACCAGCCGCGACCCAGAACCCAGGATCATCCACCGGCTCTCTAGTAGCACGCACCACCGAAGGCGAATCTGTGACTCACGTAAAGGTCAACTCCAGACCGAACGCAGACGATTTTAGAGACACTTCTCGCCTGAACACAAACATCTGCTCCGCCCATCTCTCCTGCATCGACGCAGCAGTACACCTAGCCGGGACATGGAGATAGCAGTTTGGTACGCGTACACCTCTCAACATGGCTTTGAGTCAATGCTTTTTAGTTTGATCTCGTTATACTTACCCTCGTCTTTGTGGCCGGACCACGCGATGATGAATCGACGGACGTCCCGAGTGATACGCTCGTTCTTGCTCGTCCATTGTCCTCGCGCCGAGTCAGACGTCCCAGCCTTAACGCTTCTTTAGCACACAGACCGACCGCGACTCGGGTGGATATGTCGCCTTTCAAAAGTTCCAGTTTTGTCCACCTCCGCATGCGATAATTGGGATGGGAGATAACGAATAGAGTGCCCGACGCAGGGCCCACACTCTACATAAGGCACCCGTGACTCGTGCCCTGGCCCCTGCATCACTTTCTGTAGGATGGTTGCCTCGGAGGGATGCTTCCCCATCTCAGAGCGAGCCTGATTCTTGTCGATGTTCCCATTTTGCGCGCCCCTTCTTCGCTGTATATGCTGTACACCGCCACGGATAGAAGAATAGGACACTTTGTACTACAGCTTGCATCCTCGCCGTGTGACCAGTGCGATTCATTGCAAACCGTTTCATTGACTTCAAGACCAAGTTCTGATGTACTAGACGGGTAGCGCACGATACCTAGGTTAATCGATTAATCACCGGTAAGCTACTACACCCTCGTCAGCTGAGAAATTCTTGATCTGGACTAAAGTGAAAAGATTCGAGATTCTCGATGTGATTGCATCATGCTCATGCATCACGAAGGAATTGAACTCCCTGCAGGTCGATAAATGGCAAACACATGTTACCGCTGCCCCATTGATGCGCTCCACAGCGCCGCCCAGGCTTCGGTGCGATATATCTCCCTGTTACCGCGGCCCTCCTGTCGCTTCCTCCACTACTTGATTCCTTTTGCCCATGTACGTTTTTGCTTCCACGGGACCCGCTCACAGACGAGGTTGCTTGTCAGAGGACTCGGAGGAACGACACGCCGAGCGGAAAAGCGGCGATGAGTGCGGGTCTACTAGATTGCTTCCGCGGGGCCTTTCACATGTCGTCGATCCCACGTTTAACTAGGAGAAAAGATCCGATCTCGAATGTCGTGCTAGAAATAAAAGTTAAAGGTAGAGTAGCAAGATCGGTCTGGATGCTAGAGTATCGTCGAGAACAACAAGACTTTTCTCAACATTATACTCAGACACCATTATACGGTGTCTACACCCTGGCATAATCGCCCTCGTCTCGAGAATCCTGAACTCCTTAATCTCGTTCTTGAGCGGGACTCGATCTGTCCTAGATCAAAACCTAGGAGATCCCAAATCTTTACTTCACATTCTTCGACCACCGTCTCTCACCTGTCGAGAAAGTAAAAGAATACCGCTGTCGTCAAGAAGCATTCAAGAATCCTCCGCAAGACCGGTATGACTAGCAACTGAGAACGAAAGTGACGTTTTCGAGATGGACACGACAATAACAAGGGGGCTCTAATATACTAAAGGATTGGTAGAGAAGGCCGTGGTAAGGATTTACTAAGGAGGTCAGGAAGCCATCTCTCAGTGTGCAGACCTGACAAGAAACACGAACATTTCTAGCTTTCGAGAAATAGACCTCTCACGGGTAAATTGACAATAACTATTACTCAAAATAGATTTGCGGAACTAAGGGTTGAAGCTCAAGTCGGAATCGCGGTCCGATGTCAAACACACCGCCTCTACCTCCATCCCCCTTTCCAGCCTTACTTTCCAGTGTTTCGGGAGCCCTCAGTCCGAGTCAGTTTTCTAGATTAAGTCTGAAACAATTTCTGTTCTCTGCTTTGTTCGATAATCACCTTCCTGAGACACTAAAATTCATACTGGTGTTCTGCGAGTTCCGAGTCTTGGGATCTCTCGCTGGAAGGTGTTTTATATGACAAGGTATACTCTTATATAACTAATCATGTATTCGAGGATGTCACCAAAACTCGAGAACTATTGCAAGGTCATATTCGTCGACGGACATTCGCAAAGTATACCTCCTTTGCGCTGTCTAGCCACTCTTCTTTCAGAAGTAAGCATCCGGATCACTTGGTATAGAGCTCGATCGCTGAGACGGAACCTTTCTCTCACCGCCTCTAGAGTGGTCGGGTGACTAAATCAAAACACCATAATGTGGAGTAACCTCCCGTATAAATTGCAGGAGACAGCGCTGCCTTCAACCACACAAATCATCGAACAACTCAACTGAACCAATCATCTCTACAACTGCAATCGAACAATGACCAACGTATTCCCCATTGAAGTACTTGCCCAGATCATCGAGGAAGCATGGGCACTTCCTCTCACACCTCTCGAACGACTCAGAACGACGACATCATTCGTCCTCGTCAGCAAAGCGTTCGCTTGGGAGTTCACACGCGTATTCTCTACCGACATACATATCTTTACACACTCCCACCTCAATCATGTCATCGGCCGTCTCTTGCAACGAGACACAGTAGCCTTCCGGTCGATCGACTCATCATTTACGCCATCAGAATTCTGTCGGTCCATCTCCTTCGTCCTCGAAGTCGACCCCTATGGCTCCAATTCCGTAACGCATCCAGTTTCCAAAGATATGCGCGATCTCATGCCAGTGCTTGGACAATTCTTCCCGAATGTCAAACGGGTATCCATGAACTACCACAATTGGTGGTACAACGACTCCGAACTAGCACGGCTCCAGCTACCTGAACAAGTGACCGAGCTGGAGTTTGTGTATACGCACAGCACACGGTTTACAAGAGAGCGTCTGGAGAAGAATGGAAAGTTGGACGTTATTCCAGAGTTTGACTTACCAGGAGTGAAGGAATTGACTATCCAAGGAGGAAATCGGTTGCTCAATAGCCAAATCGTACAGGCGTGTTATAATGCACGGCTCAGCTGATGGACGCATCCAATGAACGATATTTATTTAAGGAATTGCTTGCACTTTTTTGTTCTCTGATTATGACCGCTATAAGCGCGTACTGTTTTACGACCCATATGAATTCTTTTCAGTTATTTCGCAAAATATTACATTGTTTTAACTTTCTTATTACGTGCTGCATGAGAAATTTTCTGGACGATTTTAGGTACCATTTGACAATATTCAAATGAAACTGCGTAGAAATCGTCCATATACGACGGCACAAATATGACATCAGTTGTACCATATGCCAGCTTATCATCACATCCATAGCAGTATTGTGCCAAAAGGTTTAGCTTACATCCGACTCAAATAAATTTTCGAGGATTTAGAAGGGTGTATTTTATAAATCTAACTAGGGACATATATATAGATAGTCAGTACAGCCGTGCGAGAGAAATGAAAGATTCAAACTTGAGGACTCTCCTTCCGCGATCAAAGTATCTTCTGGAAGTTCCAATCCCTGAGCGAGAAGTCTGCAATGTTTAGCAACATATTTAGACAATGACAATGACATACTTCAAGACAAGATGGGATAGACGACATTGAAATGGTTGGGTCGAGTGAAGTCATCGAGGTATTTCCAATAAGGGGGAAGCGCCGCTGGGTGCTCTTGCGTATTTGATTTGTTAACTATTGTAGCCACGGTATGTCAGAGGCACGTTGATAAACAAACGTATGGATGATGACAAACTGTTATATTGTTCAATTTGGTCGCGTATATCGTTGCGCATGACCTTTTCAACAAAGGTTAGCAGCATTTACTAGGGAAATAAAATGAACGGAGCCAAGTCTGCTTGGACTTGTATCCCGAGTAGATGTCGGGGGAGTTTTCAGCCTAAATCGCTCCACAATGCCACCCTGGCTGAGGTGCGTGCACGGTATATCTCCTTGTTACCGCGGCCCTCCTGTCGTCGACTTTCCTGTCTTACACGACTCCTGGATGCCTACACACGTCTTAGCCCTATATCCTCCCTACCTCAACAAATATACCTCTCCCCAACCGTTCATTGCACCCGTAGACGTTGATTTGTATAATCAAGGCTTCAGGGTCGACCTGATACCCCCACTGCCACTGGGTTCCACTCGACCAGTCCCTCACTCCACGTCGGAAGGACTCTACGTTTCCATACCCCTCGTGCTTCCACTCACGACCGTCCCCCACCCACCGTCGATGTCTCTTCTCTCTCTCTTTCCGCTCGGACTCGAAGCGAGCATCAACGACCTCGCTTATTGCATGCTCCCTGTGTCCGTAGTGGACGAGTTCCCCGACGCAGCGGCGATGGCACAGGTCATGGTCTCTCTAAGTGAGGAGGAGTTTGAACGGAGGTTCCAGTTTAATATGGGCCTCTGGAAGAACGTCCTCGGGCTCGGGGTCACGAACAACCGCGTTATCGAGGCCGTACATTTGGCCTTTAATGTCACGCCTGAGGCCAGAAGGTTAAGAAACCGGCAATTGAACGAATGAATGACCCCTACATCTTTATA